ATGAAGTGGGGCGATCTGTGGGGAGCGGGGGGGCCGCGAGCCCCTGCCCCCAGCCCCAAAATGGGCACAGTGCACACGGGTGACTGCAGACGGCGGTGCTGGTGGTGCTGGCCCTGCTCAGGAGACGGTCTGGGGAGCAGCGGTGAGGACGAGGAGGATGAAATGCTTGGAGACACACTGCTCTGTCCGGGAACCACGAGGCGATGCCACCAAACGTGGCTGGGAACCACAAGGTGATGCCACCAAGCCCAGCTGGTCCCAGGGCACAGCCCCCAACAGCACACTGCCCTGCTCCAAAGCCTCCCTCGTGGGCACAGCCGGGCCCTGGGAAGGTCCCTCCTGTCCCTGGAGTGGAGACACGCCAGGGGACACACACCAGCACCAAGCTGGGAGGGACTGGCTGCACCCTGTGTCCTTCATCCACACCACCACCATTCCTGACCCCACATGGCCTGGAGCATCCCCGAGCCTCCCCGGCCATCAGCACCAGCCCTCCCCTCTCCAAGGATTACTCTGTTTCTAAACTCGTTAACTTTTAATTACAACCTTCCCACTGCCTGAGCGGGCTGGCTCCGCGCCACCGACAGCTCTATTAAAATTCAATTTCTGCCCATCATAACTAATTTTGGTCCTTTGCTTTCTCACCAGCAGCCTCCAATGCCAGGCAAGACAGCCAAACACTCGTCTCTACAGTCCAAATCCCCACGGAGCCGCGGGCAGAGCGCAGGGATGCCGGCAGGTTCCTCGGAGCCAGGCAGGGATTTGCACGGCAGTTCTTTGCTTCATTTGCTGCGCTGGGTTTGTTTGGGTTTTCCCCGCGTGTTTGTTTGTTTTCTCGCTTCCTTCCCTAATCCTTTCTGGCTGGATGCTGGAGCTGGAGGCGGGGGCCAGGGGCTCCGGGGGGAAGGGAGTCACCTTGGAGCAGGGATGCAGGGATGTGGAGCTGCCCAGCATCCCAGAGCAAACACCAGTGCTGGCCTCTTTCCTACAGAAGGATAAACTGAGGCACGGAGCAAACCCAGGAGAAATCCAGGAAAGGAAGTCAGAAGTCCCCATTCCAGGTTTGGAGGTGCCCCCCAGGAGCCCCATCCGCTCTCCCAAAACCGACAGGGAAGAGCCCAGGGACGGGATCCTGCACCTTTGTCCTGCCTGGGAATGAGCTGTCACTCCTGACAGGTGAGAGCTGTGGGAATTGTGGAGCTCAAGAGGTCTCTGAGCTTCCACACCAGAGCTGGGGACAAGGGGCCCATCCCACCGGGCATCTGGCACTGGTGCCAACACCCAGCACTGAGCTGGGGGCATCGGGGCCATGACAGACCATGGCTTAGTGGGGGCCAGCCCCCAAGGTCCCCAGGGACGGCCAGGGCTCCAGGATCCCACCACGGCACCGTGCTGGGGAGGGGATGTCACCCAGCCACACTATCTCTGTTCCCGGCATCCCGGAGCAGCCCCGCGTTGCTACAGCAACACGAAGCCTTTGGATTCGATGCCTTTAAAGGGGGAATGGCTTGTCTCAACCTGAATTATTGATTAAAACAGAGAGGATGACACACGCACTCAGAAGAGACAGCAAGAGGTGCCCGCCTTGATTTAAAAGCCAGCTCCAAGGGGCTGGAGTTGTGGCGGGATTAGTTGGCACACGGGGCTGGATGCCTGGATCTTGCCACTCTCTCCTGCCACCCTGTCTTGCCCCTTCCCTGGTCTAGCTGTTCCCAGGGAGCCACGAGCCGGCTGTGATCCCCAGCCCGGTGTTAAGGTGTTAATCCGCTTGTGCAAACACCTCCTCCCCGGTGTTGACCTGCTTAAATTCCCCATTTGCTCTCCAAACAGAGCCAGCAGCTCCTGAACTGCCAACTGCTGCCTCTGTGCTGCCTGCCGGGATGGCAGCCCTGGCAGGTCCCACGGTGTGCCAGGTGGGATTCACCACAGGCAGCATCAGTGGGGACTCAGAGTCCCACGATCATTCAGGTTGGAAAACACCTCCAAGACCGAGTCCACCCTGTGCCCGATGCCCACCTTGTCCCCCAGCCCAGAGCACTGAGTGCCATGTCCAGTCCTTCCTTGGACACCTCCAGGGGTGGGGACTCCAAACCTCCCTGGGCAGCCCCTTCCAGTGCCTGACCACCCTTTCCGGACTCACCGGTATTCCAGGGAGAACTTGGTGAGCTCCCGGCTGTTGTGCAGCCACTTGAACTCGAGGGGCCAGCTGCCCTCGGCCATGCACGTCAGGACCAGCCTGTTCCCCTCCAGGTGCACCTGGCTCCGCACCGGCTCCGTCTTGAAGTAGGGGGAGACATCGTCTGTGGAGAGAGGAGGGACAGGGGTGAGGGACACGCCAGCCCCACATCCCACCGGCCCCACATCCCACCAGCCCCANGCTAACATGAATATTGGGGATGGGATCTTTCCCAGCTCCACCAAAACCCTCCCATGGCATCATCATTACCTGACTTTGTAAACCCATTGAAACATCTGATCTCATTTGGGCTAAACCCAAACAATTCTTCCCTGTGAGGGTGGTGAGGCCCTGGCACAGGTTGCCCAGAGAAGCTGTGGCTGCCCCATTCCTGGAAGGTCACACTGGAGGGGGCTTGGAGCAACCTGGGCTAGGGGAAGGTGCCCCTGCCCTTGGCAGGGGGTGGAATGAGATGATCTTGAGGGTCCCTTCCAACCCAAACCATTCCATGGTTCTTTGGGCATAACCATAATCCAGCAGCCCCCTCCCTGTCCCCCTGCCCTGGCCCTTGACCCCCCCCCAAGCCATTCCACAAGCCCACGGACGAGGGCTCAGCCCACTGTGGGTTTATCTGAGCTGCTCCTTTGCTTTATTCCTGGCTGCCTTTGTAGCATCTCCGAAGCACCAAGCTTTTAACTCGGGGGGTGAAGGGGCGGAGGGGCTGGGAGCAGAGCGAGGCAGAACCACTTACTCCTCTCCTGTTTTATTTGCTAAGTAAAACTATAAATCGAACCACACAGCTCCATTTTCTGCTTAACAAATGGAAGCCCTTTTACTTCAAAGGCACATTCATATTCCCCAGCAGCTTTCAAGTGCACGTTCAATCACGGCTTCGAGTTTTTTCTTTGGGGTAGGGCTTCGCTTTCTTGTCTGCGAGAGCTGAATTCCTGCCACGGATCTCTGCACTGTGGGCTCAGCCCACTCCAGTGCCCCACCACCCTGGGGGGTGCCAAGAGTGTGCAGGAGCTCAGAGGCGCCCAGACACCCCCAGATCTGCACGGGGGGGTCCCTCTCCTCACCGGGATCCCGGCTCCTGCACACCTGCCTCGCTGTACCCACGTGGAAATGCCCACTGGATTTACACCCTGTCCTGCCTGGCAAAGGGGTGGGCACGGTGGTGCTGGATGCCAGGCAAGTCATTAGGAAGAGAAGCAGCAGCTTGTGGCTCGTTAATTTAATCCTCCTCTCTGACCTTCAGCAGTGCTGGCTGGAGCGGGCAGCCCTTATCCCAGTGTCCCTGCCTCAGGTCCGGGCTGGATCCGGACACTGGAGCATCAGGGCACCACACAAAGCTGGTGTGGGGCACTAGGGCTGAACCCCACAGTAGCCCAGCATGGCCCAGAGGGCACAGGGGCAGAGTGGTGCCCAGTGGCACCATGGCACTGTCTGTGCCCCCTGTCCCATGGTTATGTGGTTCCCCAGCCCAGAGAGCTCGTGGCAGCTGCGCTGCGGCTTTCGGGGTGCCCAAGGAATGGGCACACGTGTGCTGCTGGGCAGAGCAAGCCAGGCCCACGGGAACAGCCCAGTGCAGGATCCGTGTCCCTGTGCACGCGTGTGCGGGGGTGGGCACACGTGTCCCCACCACAGCCTGGCAGGAGCTTGACCTGCAAGGCTGGAGTTTCGCCCACGTTGGGATGGAGCCTTTGGGATTACGGCAGCGCCCAGATGGGGACGTGGCACAGCCAGGTGACAGCTCTGCATCCAAACACCTCCTGCATGAAACCAGTAAATGAGCCATGGACCAGACTGGGGTCCACTGGGCACCATGCAGTTGATGCATTGCTCCAGCAAGGATCCAAGCACGGCACAGCAGGCTGATCCCCAGGGACTGGTGGTCCCCAGGGAGCCCAGGGAGCTCAGGGTTGTACTGGCAGTGTCTGGCCAAGCGCTCCAATGGCACTGTGGGTCTGAGACCTGGTGTACTCAGTGCACCCCTCACACTGAGCCAGCACCCAGGGCCTGGGAGGCATCTGGGAGGTGTCCTGGAGGCATCTGGGAGGTGTTTGGGCAGCGTTTGGGAAGCAGGGTGCTCCTGGCACACCTTCCCCTGGGCCTGCCCGCCGTTTGCATACATCCTAATTTGATTTTAAGCAGCTAAGGCTCATCGCGCTTTGAAGCGCCCGAGCCATCTGTTCTGCATTAAGGGGTGAAAAACGGTGCAGAGGAGGAGAGGCGGCTCCTAATTCCGTATTGATCGTGCCGTGCTGATCCGCCCGCGAAGGTCACGGCGGCCGCCCCGCACCCAGGGAGTCAACCCCCCCCAAGCACGGCAGGGGACAGCGGGCATGGGGGTCCCCGGTGTCTCTTCCAAGGGGTGAAGGCGGCACTGAGCTCTGGGAGTGAAATCCTCATCCTCCTTCTGGGAGCCCTGTGCCCCTGCAGGGACAGTGCTGAGGGTGGCAGGAGGAGAGGAGGACCCTGGGGAGGGGAATGCAGCTGGTTTAGTGCCAACATCTCCAGAGAGGCCTCCAGGAACAAGACCAGGTGTTCCTGGTGTTCCCCTGCCCACCAGCTCTCAGAGGGGAGAAGGGTGGGAGCAGTGCTGCCCCCCTGCCCTCAGTCCCTCCTGCAGCCCCCCTGCCTCAGTTTCCCTCTGCTCTCTGGCAGCACTGGGCATCCCAGCTCTGCTCCCTGGGGACAGCTCCTCTCTCCCACCATCCACTACAGGTGATGGCACCACCACATCCAGGGTGTGTGGGGTGCTCACCACCTCACCACGGAGCCAGCACGGACAGGGGCTGCCATTCCCCCCATCCTGGACCCAATGGGAGGGTTCCCGGTGGGTGACAGCCACATCCCCCCCCAAAGGAAGGGTCATTACTGCTCATTCCGCCTCTCCCCCATCTGTTGTGGCTGTTTACACTCCGCTTGCTAATTAGAGGCTAATTAGTTGGTGCAGAAATTCATCACTTTCCAAACACAGGCGGCAGCGAGGGGCGTCTCCGGGAACATCTGCACATCTGCCGGCGGCACGGGACGGTGCGGAGCTCCTGGAGCGCCGGACTGTGCCACGTCCTGCCACGCTGTGCCACGCTGTGCCAGCCCAACACAGCCCCCTCCACGCAGAAAGCACCAAACTGCTTCATCCCCACCCTGCCCACACTGGTGACCCTGCAGCTGAGCCGAGCTGCCGGTGGGGATGGAGGGGATTCCAAGAGCTGCCAACCGGGAAGGGGGACAGGGACGACCCCAGCCCTCTCCCTCCCCTGCTGATGACATTTTAATGCCAGGCCCTGGCACGGCACTAATCCTGCCTAATGGGATCACAGTCTTGGCCCCTGCACTTTAGTTACATCAGGGCCGGCAGAGCCGGGGCTGAGCCCCGGGCATTAGTGCCAGAGCAGGCACGGATGTAGGGCAGGGCCCCCGAAAGAGCAGTAATGGATCCTAATTCCCGGGCGTAATGGGTGAGCTGGGAACTAAGCTCCCCTCTCCCCAGCCTCAAATCCCCCTTGATGGCAGGGAATGGGGAGTTTTAAGCCTGGAGGAATCCCGGAATGCCTGCCAAGGGCAGGGCTCTGCCCAGCAGCTGCTGGCAGGGGGGAGAAGGAGGGTGCAGCCCCTCCTTTCACCCCCCACAGAGATGAGATGGGGATGGAGGTATGAGATCCCACTCCACAAGTCCCTCTGGTCACCCCCGAAACACCAGCAGCTCATGGGACACCCAGGTCCCCTCCTGCCTGGCACCACGATCCCGGGGACAACAGAGTCCCCCTCCCTGCCTGTGTTCTGCACAGGGTCACCCTCTGCTGCCCCTTAGGGACAGGGGTCACATCCAATTGCTGCACTCCCCAGCTGGCTCATTGGAAGCTGATCAGTCCAGCGCCCATTCTGCTAATTCCTGTGAATCAGTGGGATGTGCTGGGCATCCCAACCAGCACCAGTGGGATGCCCTGAATCCAACCCACCTGTACCTGCAGGCTCCAGGCGCCCCATGGAGCCCAACCAACACCAAGGACCAGCACCTGCCTCGGGGAACACAGCACCATCACCTCTCTCCTTCCCAACAGCCCCTCTCTGGTCTCACCAGGATGTGGCTGGTGCAATCCTGGGAAGGGATCACTCTGTTGTCCACACTCCTGGACCACAGAAGAGGGGACAGAGCCATCTCCCTGCTCCCATGAAAACTTCCCAGGGCTCCCCCATCCTTTTCAGGGCACCACCACCCAAAAAGGAGGATGGCAGCCTGGAAAGGAGGGTGCCAGCCCTTCGGGAGCACTGGCACGACCACCTGGCACTGCCAAGGACCAACCTCCCGCTCTACCCCCCCCGGAACAGGGAGATGGAGCTAAATCTCTTCGGCATCAGACTCTCGCTGGCTCCGCAGCACGAAGAGATTAAAAAACAATAAAGAGAAAACGAAACCCTCCGCTATAATTACCAGCCTTTAGCCGCCAGCGGAGGCAGGAGGGAGGGAGGGAAGGAGAGAGGGGGAAAAAGAAACACAGGAGAAGAAGAAATCCACTAAAATTTTAATAGGAACCACTGCATTTAATTTAACGACACATTTTTTCAATTACCAGAATAATTGTTTTATTCATAAAACGAGTTTCAATAAGAGGGTAATTTTCCTTTGTTTTTATTATTCATTTGTGGAACATATTCCCGGCGCAGCTCCCCGGCGCCGCGGCAGCCGCTCCGCATCCGGGGGGCTGGGAGGGGGGAACATCACGGGGGCAACCCATGGCCCCCAGATACAGCACCCATGGGGGACCTCAGTGTCCCCGAGCACCCCGGTGGGGTCACAGCCTTGGCTGGGTGTGAGGAGAGGTGGCCCCAGGGGATCCACCCTGGCCAAGGGGCGCTGGGGACACAGTGGTCCCCGCTGAGGCCACCTCGGCAAGATGAATCCCCAGGGCCGTGTCCCTGCCCAGGGAGTCACATCCCCTGCTTGTCGGATGCCAGCCTGCGGTTGGGAAGCATCAATTTTTCAGTGGATGCTGGTAAAGCCACTGGGTTGATTAAATGACGTGTCCCCACAGGCACTGAGGGCACGGAGCCACCACAACACCCCGGCAC